ACTAAGCTATGGTTTGAATAAAGCGCTCACTTTATGGACACAAACTGTGAGCCAATGAAACGTCGCTTTCATTGCATTTAAAACACATGTTGTCTGAAAGTGTGAGACATGTGTTGACACGACTTGTGTTTTGATTGCAAACCATTTAAATATTGTCTGATATTTGTTGACAATTAAAAGCAATTAAAATAAATGCTTTAAAAATGGTTAACAAACGGATCAGTAATAAATTGCCCACAAATTTACCACAACTGCAGAACTGTATCAAACGGGACGCCAATGGATACAAGGATGAGGTAAAGTGTGATCATTGAATCGGATCCACATTTTTGTTGCATTTGTTTTGCATTTGATATACAATTGATTGGTTAATGTGATTGTCTGTTGGATCAGTTCGCACAACAACACGACCACTACAGAGCGCTTCTTCAAGTATTTCAATTCAACCCTTCGGCGGACGACAAGGACTTCCAGGAATTGGTTATGTTTTTATCGCAAATCAGTCATTGCTTTCCCAAAGAATTGTCTGATTTTCCCAATGAATTGATGAATACATTGAAACTCTTCTCAACAAATCTTAATCCAGACGTCCGTTTGGTATGAATCCATTCAAACCTATACTGTATTCACATTTCATATAACATTAGTAATGAAATTGTTTTTCAGACATTATGTCCGCGAAATTATGATAACGCTTTGTTTAGCGAATATTCAGGTAGCCTAAACAACAGAAACAAAAAACTTAATGAAGCAACATTACTATTCTTAAATTCTGTTAAAGAATTCTGTGTGTAGTATAGGCTCATTAAAAATGTCAATTCAAAGCACAAGAATTCTAAGATAAATACTGTAAGACATGAAGAAATCATATTTTTTAGTACAGAAACTGAATGCAATTTATCGTTTGTTTTATAGGTTTTGCAAAACTTCATGTTTTCAATGTTAAGAGATAGCAATAAAATCGCGGCTAAAATATCGTTAGAAATAATGATTGAATTGTATAACAAGAATGTGTGGAAAGACGCGAAGACTGTGAATGTGATCGGAAGCGCCTGTTTCTCGAAGATTACTAAAGTATTTATTTGTTAAAACGATTTGTATGTAAAGAAATTAATAGTTATTTTGATTGTATAGATATTAGTGGCATCGCTGACATTCTTCCTCGGCAAGGATGAAGACCATCCTAGGCTAAGCCTGTTGTCACTAAGTCTGCTGCTGTTGTGAGGCTTGGGTTATCTCCAACGCTACCGATTATCTCAGTTATTCTGCTGATTTTTTGCGTTCTTTAATGAGCGCTCCTGATTTTTTCCGATAAAGAAATCGAAAAAGGGCTCTAAAAACGTTTCATTCGACTTCTCGGCCATTCATCTCTTACACGATCCGCAATCGATGGCCGAAAAACTCTTTAAATCATTGCAAACATTTAACGAACGCTTCGAAGTGAAGCTTATGGTTATGAATCTAATCTCGCGTTTGGTTGGCATTCATGAGTTGATTCTTTTGAATTTTTATCCATTCCTTCAACGCTTCCTTCAACCACATCAGCGAGAAGTGACCAAAATATTGCAATACACGGCTCAGGCCTCTCACGAGTTAGTGCCTCCCGATGTGATGGAACCCATTCTCAAGCAAATCGCTAATAACTTTGTAACCGAACGTAATTCCGGCGAAGTTATGGCCGTTGGCCTCAACTCTATCAGAGAACTGTGTGCGCGCTGTCCGCTCGTTATGAGTGAAGATCTGCTCCAAGATTTAGCCGAATATAAGACTTATCGAAATAAGAACGTATCGATGGCTTCGAAGTCATTGATTCAGTTGTTTAGACTTAAAAATCCACATTTTCTTAAGAAAAAGGACAGATCCAAACCCACAGAAGCCAACGCACAGCTCAAAGCCAAACAATACGGAGAAATAGTGTCCAACGATTTTATTGACGGCGCGGAAGCGCTCAATGAATCCGTTGATAGCGATAACAATGAGAGCGACGAAGAAATGGATGGAGAAGAAGACGGTGAGGGTTGGGTTGATGTGAGCCATTCAGAAGGCGAGGGCAATGACAGCGACGGATGGATTGATATCAAGCATTCAGACGACGACGAAGAGGCGGATGAGTCGAAGAGTGTCGCCAATAGTTCAACAGTTGATTCCAAAGAGAGGGCAACACTCATATCGTCGTCACGTATTCTAACGCAGGAAGAGTTCCGAAAAGTGAAAGCCATTCAACTGTCAAAACAGATCTCTGCGGCGAAACCGAGAAAATTCAACAAAAATGCTAAAAATACTGTCGAATCGGAAAACATCGGTCAAGTGTTGGAACAGAAGGTTTAACAAAGCAACTTACGTTAGCTTTCCGAGATATTTTTAGCTTTTAGCCTATTTCTCAGCGCAAATCTCTGACAAGCGCTCCCTGCCCTCCCCTCCCTCTTCAAACCGCGGTCTTTTCCTTTCAGAAACCCATTCTCTTCAAAGAACAAGAAGGAGAACCTCAAGAATAAGGCCTTTTCGATGGTTAAGCATAAGATCAAGATTAAGAAGAAGCGCTCGTTTAAGGAAAAACAGGTCACTTTACGCAACCGTTTACTCAAGAAATGCAAATGAATTGAAAATAATAAACAGTATATTTATTGACTTAAGAAATAAATATTTGTTACATTTTAATATGACTTCATTTGTTATCAATATTTAGTATATTTTGAGTATAAATTATTCGAGAATTTAAGGCTAGAATAGGCTAGAAATTTACATTACATTGATTTACAAGTGGTGTACAAATAAAAAGTCGATTACATTACACAATAAGTAGACATTGAAAATGAGTTTTTCTCTCCTGCCCCTCTCACCTCTGGTTTTTGGAAAGACAGTTATCACCCGTATACCAAGCATGGTTACCCAGGGGTTAGCACTTCAGGTGAGCATATGCTCTGTGCTACACAGTCAGCTACGCTATATGAGAAACCTCCGCTTCCCTCCAATTGTGTCAAAACTATTATGACTTGTCTATTGGGAAAAGACAACACATATTAACAGTAAATGATTTAAGGATTGCGTGATTATCACAATGAAGTACCGATGCAATGGAGGAATGCTGTCCACAGTTCTGAGCGTCGCTCTGGTAGAGACCACATTCACACTCTCAGAACAATCACAGATCACTTGAATACAACGGTCGGGGAATCTATTCTCCACCACCACTACCAGACCCGCCCATCCTTTGGTCAAATAATAGGCAGTCATACCCTCCCGACCCTATTATCGGGTAAATAAACCGTTTAATTGCATCAAAATGTAAAAAACAAGTGTTAATATAACGAATACAAACCTCATGTCTCTGTCCTTTAGAGAGTGTTAAGTTGATGATAGCGTCGGCCAATATGAAGGTCTGGGGCAACACTGTCTCCACTAACAAACGCTTCGAGCTATGCATTGCCAGAAGAAATTTGGGATATTGTTCCACACTCTCGATACCTATTGAATGAGGCAAAAGTTGAGCAATTGTTTGCAATGATAATCATTGGTAACACTTACTGGTCTGCCAGTGATTGAACGCCAAGCATATGATGAGATAGACTCCCGGCTCAAACATGACATGACAGCCAACAAAACCTCTTACTTGACGTTTGCTATGTTTGACAAGTTTGCCGACACTTTCATTGGATGGGTTTCCGGTCTTGAATATAACCACACATAAGTCGAGTTGACTTCTCTGCGATCGTTCGGCACTTCTCTGTCCCTCTTGAAAGAGACTGAACTCCAGTTCTGTCGCCTCAACGACTGTGAACTCAACGATCGCCAGATTTTCCACGTCTAACGCATTCGATGGCAACACTCCCTGAAGTCTAATCTCATTCCAATCGGATCTCACTTTACAGATATCGATGCAATCGAAGTATTTGAGGACATCGTTGAATGGCATCCAAAAGACACCTTCGCTCGCGCCGTGAACCATGAGTTGTTCCCGAAGTGACTAATCTCATTCCAATCGGATCTCACTTTACAGATATCGATGCAATCGAAGTATTTGAGGACATCGTTGAATGGCATCCAAAAGACACCTTCGCTCGCGCCGTGAACCATGAGTTGTTCCCGAAGTGGTTGTGTCCACAGAGACGATGTGTCAGACCAGTCGCCTTTCCATGAGAAGTGGCCCCAAGGGTTCCGCAGACGAACCAATCGAATGCCGTCAATATCCTGGACATCGAGCACAGAGTAGGCGTGTCGTGGTCTCAGCCCCACCGCATGGTATTCAGTATCGTTGACCTGCATATTGCCGCCGCCACACGAGGCGCCCATCAAAAAGCCTGCCGTTCGTGAACTCAATAGTTGAGCCCAAATCAAGTCTTCATCAATTCCCTCCTCATTAGAGGAAGGAGTGGACGATTGGAGTGGAATCGACTCACACGGAGCGCCTGTTAGTGTGGACAGGCCTTCGATGGCTCGGCCGGACACCAGTGCCTCATAACATCCGTGCAGTTTTGCCAAAGCCTTCTCAATGAGTGGAACCCATAATTGTTTGCGTTTTGCCTGAGAATAGACGAGATGTCCTCTCGAATCGCACGGCAGTAAGTCGTCGACCAAAACAGTAGTCCATTTGCCGTCTTTGCAGAGCCGCACCTGATATGCGCCCTCTGGACATATGTCACGGGTAACCATAACTCTCTTCACTAAATCCGGTCGTTCGGCCAAAACAGCCAAAGCGCTCAAAAACCAACAGTTGCCGAGAATTCCCTGCGATATGTCTGATGGCATTGGAGTCCGAAATACAGCCCATTTGACACTCGATATAGCGTCGCTTCGGATATCCTTAGGTCTCAGCCATTGAGTCACGTTATGATTGTTAGCGATGTCTTCGGTGTTATAATAGAGTGATTTCGGGAGCGGAGGGAACGAGTCGTCGACGAAATTGATTTTACTTTTGCTACAAAAGTGGACGATATGTTCCCATCGATTGCGGGCCTCATTCTCCTCAATACGGCGTAACGTTTCCATGAGTTCACTTTCGCCATGACATAAGGTGTTAGTGTTTGAGTCGCACTGAGGGGTTGGGGTTCTTGTGTTGAGATGAGCCGAGTCTGGCCTCAGTGTGAGCACACTTCTCGACTGTTGGCATATCTCGCAACTATATCGGGCGCTGGGGTTGAGGAATGTACACGCGCTGCACTCCCATTGGGACTTGTTTCGGGTCAGATCTCGTCGGTGAACGTTGTCGGCCGAAGTGGTGGGTCTGACCAGCAGAATGTCGTCGTCGTCCTCATCTTCGATAATAGCGATGGAACTGTTTCTGAGATCCTGTCGTTTGTGATTACAAGCCGAGCATTTGGTCGAATCGATGGCATTCCTGAGCGTACATCGACTGCAAACCCAACTCTCGTTGGGCTTCAAAGTCAAGTAATTTTTATCGGTCGTACTGTTGAGTTTAGAGCCGCCACAAGCCGTGCAGTAGTTATCGTTCAGTGAATTAATTAACGTACACTTTATACACGTCCAGCCGTTTGACAACATTTGATTAGTGAGTATTTGTTGCAAATTATTGCTATGAAACTGAATATTTGTTGTATTATTAATATTATTGTTACTATTGATTAAATTATTGTTTAAAACTATTGTCTGAACTCTTTGAACGCCTAATGCATTGGTATTAATGTTATCATTTGTACGTCTTTTGTCACACATTTCACATATTATTGAATAGCTTTTATTGGATGCAAATGCACTCCCATTGGGACTTGTTTCGGGTCAGATCTCGTCGGTGAACGTTGTCGGCCGAAGTGGTGGGTCTGACCAGCAGAATGTCGTCGTCGTCCTCATCTTCGATAATAGCGATGGAACTGTTTCTCAGATCCTGTCGTTTGTGATTACAAGCCGAGCATTTGGTCGAATCGATGGCATTCCTGAGCGTACATCGACTGCAAACCCAACTCTCGTTGGGCTTCAAAGTCAAGTAGTTTTTATCGGTCGTACTGTTGAGTTTAGAGCCGCCACAAGCCGTACAGTAGTTATCGTTGAGTGAATTAATTAACGTACACTTTATACACGTCCAGCCGTTTGACAACATTTGATTAGTGAGTATTTGTTGCAAATTATTGCTATGAAACTGAATATTTGTTGTATTATTGATATTATTGTTACTATTAATTAAATTATTGTTTAAAACTATTGTCTGAACTCTTTGAACGCCTAATGCATTGGTATTAATGTTATCATTTGTACGTCTTTTGTCACACATTTCACATATTATTGAATAGCTTTTATTGGATGCAAAAGAGCAGTGACTACAAGACCAATGGGAAGATTCTTCAATGTCATCGTCTTGCGTGAGATCAACGATGTTTTGGTCATTCATTGTCGTACCACTGATCGCATGAGTCGGAGAGTCTGTCGATTCAGTGCCAGAACTGAGCGAATTATCTTTTTGCAAACATTGACTTTGTTTCAACACTTTATTCTTCTGAATGCCGATCAAAGGGTAATTCACTTCACTGAAGGACGTACTCCTCTTTAGACGAGTCGGCCCTTCACTGGTATTTGTGAACAATTGGTGCTGAAGATAGTCCTCATATGTGGAACAATCGCTTTGTTCGCCATTAGAAGAGCCTTCAGAGCCGTGCCGTTTGAGTCGTTCCTTGAATTTGGCTTCTCTTACATTAATGGCGTTCTTCGCGTGCAATGGATTCCTCTTATCGGACACTGGAATGAATTGACGGGAATTATCACATATAATACAACTGACGGACGACGGGATGTTCAAGAAGTGACACTTTAGACACAACCACTTCTTAGAATCGCCACAATCTCTATTAAATGGGGATTTTGTCAAATGAATGGGTGATACAATTGACGATATGTTTAAGTTGGCAATGGTTTTGCTTCTGTCCGACCAATCGATGTCGAGTCTCAACGCCCCGCAGACACCGCACTGGAAGTGGTTGTCGACGTTATAGTACTGGCATTTAAAGCACTTCCACTTGGAGTCCTCTGTTGGCACCAATTTCTGAGATTCAGAACTTAATTGACTGATTAATTGATGATTGGTTTTGATGTGATGGCAGTGAACACATTCAGAACACGTGGAAATGTTTCGGAGACCACACGTCGGACACAACCACTTCTGGTTCTTCTTACCGATGCATTTGACGAAAGTCTTCTCCAAGAAGTTTACGTGACTATTGATGAGATGACTATTGGATCGCTTCAGACGAATGCATGTGACAAACGACGGCGCGGTCTTCAGATAGCCATCGATTCCATGTCTTTTCCGCTGATGACAGCCGTCGGACACCAGACTCTGATCGTCGCTATCTTTAGACGCGTTACTGTTGGACCTCTTGTGTGCCACCAACTGATTGTCTTCTATGTCTTCAACACTGAATGACAAATGAATACGAGAAGAGAAAGAAAGAAAAGCTAATGAATAACAAAGTGGTCACTAATGGCAACCGATTTGCAAATCAATGAGTGTTTGATACGCTTTACATCTCATAATTGCTAATGTATTGTGTTTTTCATTCAACACTAATATTCATACAAAACTACACAAAAAAAACTTTCTTTCGCTTTGCATTAGAGTTGTAATGATTACACTGTATTGTACTGTATGTCAGATTTACTGTCATTATTCTGGTGTTCAATAAACCGCTTATATTATAAATATAACTGACTTGTGAGGGGTGAATGCGCTCACAGTTTCGTAAATTGTTTTACAATTAATGCAACAAAAAAAAGTAATGATCGGAGAAATAGCTATACGTTTGAAACAAATGTATCGATTGTGAGGATACAAACCATATATCATTTAATTGACACCTAATTAAAGCATTCATTGATCTGTTCTGTCATTCAATAACGGTTTTCAATTCACAATTAATGCCAGCAATGAGTTGACACAAACTGTGATTCACTAATCAATACTAAAAGTAGTAATAATTAATTGTGAGAATTCATTGCATACACACTGTTATGTTGAATTCAATGTTAATAAATGATGGTTATTGTCCCTTAAAAACTTGTATAATTTCATTTATAATTCAACATGCTCAATCATTGTACTCTTGAAATTCATAGGTCTATTCGTATATATTAGTAATGCTATTGTATTATAAATATTTTATAATACTAGTAACATTTAATGTTGAACTTGGTAACACTAGAATCGTGTAAAGAATAATCTAGATTTATTGATTTTATTGAATTAATGCTCTTTTATGAAAGCATTTGATTGTTTCCTTTTATGCGATTCTTTACGACACAAAAAGTGCATAAGTTTTTAAAACACAGCACAAGAATTGCTCTAAAAATACATTTCATATCAAACTTGTAATTGTATTCAATATAATAGCAATGTATTAGAAGTTTATGCCATTTGAATGTCATTTGAGATAAAGAAATTGACATTATTCCCACTCTTCAATACAATATACAATTATATTTAGCATATAATTGTAGTTTTATTCTATCATATAATGACATATAATAACGTAATACTTCTAATGGGAATAAATATTTAATATGTGTTTGATTTAAATCATGCCATCGATTAACATATGGATGACATATTCAAATAAACTTCATTATTATTTCATAAACAATGATAAGAGAGTCATAGGAATAATCTCAACACAAAACAAACACTATATTTGATTTAAATATTAATTAAAATGGGAATTAAATATTATATTGCACTCAATATATGAAATGGCATTTTATAGCACATATGACATGCATTTCATTGTAAAAAGGTATTAAACTATGAATGCTTTTATGACATTTTACATTAATTAATGTGAAACTCAATTGCCTTTTACATAGTGGTTATAGTGGTATTATAGTAGTGATGGTTAATAAGTGTAAGCAATTAAAAACGCTAACCAATACCAAAGAGTAAACTCCTATTTATTTAAATATAGTATTTATCGATAAAACAGTTACTAAGATATGAAACTATTTGCCGATTGAATTAACTTTTGTAAAACACAAGCAAATCATTAATCAGTTTCTCATTAAAATCATGATTTAATGACTCATTAAATAAGTGATTAATAACTATAAATAATAAACAAACATAATTCTCGTTTCCGGCACTACTTTATCACTGGAAACAGTAATTGGATTTTGAACCGAAAAATAAGAGTAACAAAAAAGTGGAGCAAAACTTGACAATACTTTTGTATGTGTTTTGGTTTGAAAACTATGTGAAAGTGACTGTTATTTGATCTAATATTAATCAAAACACTTATTATATTTCAAATGTTTTAATCAAATGACAATAATTACTCGATTGCTGTGTTGTGTCTCTGCTGTGCCTCTGAGCCAAAGTGATTGTCGTCGAAGTGAAGACAGTTGTCCGCCAATGAGTTATCATCGGTGCTCATCGGGTGACCATCGGTCCCATCACTCGCTGGTGTCGGCGGCGACAATGGATGGGTCGGCGATGGAGTGGTGCGGCTGTTGGCCATTGGCATCGGTTCCGTGGATGAAACGGGTCTTCTGGTGCCGCACATACCACAGGTCGACCTCTCGGTTGGATTCAATGAATAGGTACATGTCTTGCAGCGCCACTGAAGTACTGATGCATTTGATCCCATCCTTCAATCCATTCACGCATTCAATTGCCTTTTCGTCTCAATTCTCATACAATTAGCTAATCATTGCTTCCGTTTGACAGCTAATCGACAGCTAGTGTTGTCTCGTATATCAAGACATTGTTATGTCATTTCACTACTTGTTATCATACGTACGGATCAACTCATGTGATAACAAACCATCGCTGATAACAGTTATTACTTATCAAATCAATCGCTGTCTTAATTGAGTCAATATTTTAGCGCTTTTTCGCTTCAAATGAATCGATAATTAGATATATTTTATCGTTAAATATATACCAAAAACACAACACAATAGCCTTTAAGCACTCATTGGACGCATAATTGCTGTCAAATGCATAACAAATAATTAGATTAACATTTAATTGTAAAATATTTGCAATTTTAATACCAATAGGTATTGAATTAATGGCTGAAAAATGTGATTATTATAACTATTACTGTATTATTATTATTGTTATTATGATTACAAATGCATTACAAAAAAGCATTGCTTTTGCGCACAATCGCTGTTAAAAGCCTTAAGTTTTTACATAGATTTTCATTGCATAGACACTAATATTTCAATTTTTCTCCCAAACATCTATCCATTGATTGAACAAATAGTTAATCAATTAAATTACATGTTTATGAGTCCAAAGTTTAGCACCAAAACTATGTATGTGTTGTCTGTAATGAGATTTTGTTATGTAACAAAACTTTATGCAATACTTTTTCAAATGAGACACAAAAATGCATACATTTTTTGCTATGATTTTCAATCAGACTTTGGATCGCAAAGAAAAAACGTCGAGTGAATCGTTAAAATACAGTTGAAATTGCATTACATTTCTATTATTTCTATTAGACATACAATTGATTGTGAATTTAATCATCGATTCAATTAAATTGACTTTCATTTCG